CCATATTCATTCTTTGACATGAAATGAATGAATCAGGAAGATTGTATTTACTTCCACTTACTATTTTAAATACATAAACTGTTTAATGAAATAAACTGTAAAATATCCTGTTTTCTGTATTATATGTACATTTGATTTTTTTAATAGCCTTTCCAAAGAAATGAGGGCATGATTATTGTATAGTACTGTGACTGATTTAATTGGATGTACAGAGCAGGCTGCATTCTTAAGGATAAAAATATGTGATGGCACTCATCCCTGTGTTTTGAATCTTTTCTTTCTGAAACACTCAAACATCTTACAAAGTGCTGAGTAGGTGATAGTGATCCAACTTGTTGGCTAAATGAATATTTGTTTAAAATCTGTACAGTTTCAAGTGTTTACTTATACAAAACATGTACATACTTTCAAATAATTTAAAATGCTTTATATTGTTTGGCTAGAAATTGCTGTTTTTAATAAATGTGAATTTTTTTAAAAATAAAGATTTTTGCTTCCTACTTTGTCCTCACGTGTCTGTTGTGTGTATGGATTCTTTTTAAAAAATAATTTTTTAATTGAAATTTTTATTGAGCTAGCTTGTGATTCACATGCGGTTGTCAGAATACAGGGAGACCCTCTGTACCTTTCCCCCGATTTCTCCCAGTGGTAACATCCGGTGAAAGTAGAATACGTTATCACAAGCAGAATATGGACATTGGTACACTCCACCAGTCTGTTCACTTGTACCGTGTGGATTTTTTGGTAAGATAATTATTGTGGGAAGACATTTTTGAAGCCTTTTTTTTTTTTTTTAAAGATTTTATTTATTTATTTGAGAGAGAGAATGAGAGAGAGCGAGCGTGAGAAGGGGGAGGGTCAGAGGGAGAAGCAGGCTCCTCGCCGAGCAGGGAGCCCGATGCGGGACTTGATCCCGGGACCCCGGGATCATGACCTGAGCCGAAGGCAGTCGCTCGACCGACTGAGCCACCCAGGCGCCCTTTTTGAAGCCTCTTAATGCTTCGTTAGTTGAAAGGTAATTTAATTTTTCTTTGTTTGCAAAACTGCCAGTTTCCTGAGTACTGTCAGCACAGAGTTGTGTTGAAATTTAATGTTACGGAAGTAGCAATAAAAACGACTTTGTATTTTCACCCTGGTTTAACAATCCCCTATCTTTAAATTTTCTTCTGCTGTTTATTACCTTGCAAGAAAGAACAGTCAACCTTCGTTTTTAAAAGGGGGCCGTTTGGTAGAGAAACCTCAGTGCATTGGTAAGAGAATGTTGCTTCTCAGCAAGGAGGAACTTCATTGCTTCCTCTCTGGAGCACTGCTCTCCCCGTGGCCGCTCGTCCCCCAGCTTGTCCGTCCTCTGATGGCCCGTGGGGCCCCCGCGCATCTGTGCGTCTGGCCTCGGCTCCTCACTGCTCACCCTCCGCGTCGGTCCGGGTCCGTGAGTGCACGTGCCAGGCTTCGTCACTGTCTCGCTTGGGCAGGAAAGGGCTTTGTCACCGGGGTGGGGGTGGGGGGACAGGCCAGAGGCTAGAGAAACAGAGGGATAAGCGCAGGAAGTATCACCGATGTAGGTATTTCTTGAACGCAGAAGGCGTTGGTGCGGACTCCGCTGTGGCAGGTCCTGGACTGAGCGTCACCACAACCGCGTTCATCTCGGGCAGCCTCGGGAGGACGGTCTCTGCGCTAGTTACCGATTTACGGCCTCGCAGCTCCAAATCCACCTTTTTGGGCCCTCCTTGGAGACTCTGCAGCTGGACCCAGAGAACATTTCTCCTTTGCCAGCGGGTGCAGACTTAGGCTTTGTAGGGTGCTGGAGGTTCACTGCACGGCGCGGGGGAAAGGGGCCTCCTGTTGCTGGTATGTCTCTCTTTCCTTCTACGTGGCCGCTGTGGCAGCGTGGGGGGCTCTGTAGTGAGTTCTCCTGCCATCCAAGTAGGAAGTTGGCGGCTCCCCAGCACGCCAATGAAATCCCGCCCCCCCCCCCCCCCCGCCCCCAGTCAGCGGGCCACGGTTCCATCCTTGGCCTTGGTGTTGGTGGGGGCTCTTGGAGGTTCTTCGTTCCCTCCTGGGTACTCCCAGCCCGCGCCCTCACCCCCACTCTTCACTCCGTGACCCTTCCCTCTCACCCAGGGGGCTCTGCTGTGCTGTGCTCCTCCACAAAGCCACAGTTGCTTTGTTTTGCTCTCGCTCGCTTCTCTGCGCCCCAGCCTAATCTCCCCAGGGGCACCTTGAGCACAGGGCGGAAGCTCGGTGTGTATTTGTTGCATGGCCTAATTAGTTACTGAATTCATTAGTGATTTTGTGGGCACTGCACGAGGCTCCATTTGCCTTGGGGCAGTCACCAATTGTTGCCCGTCAGGGAACCCTTGTGTGTAACTGAACAGGTTGGTATTCATAAACAGCCCAACTTCGTTCGTTTTCATTTCCAGGAGAAGCACCTTTTCCTGCCAAGTCATTGAAGATAGAATGGTGGTCAGTCAGAATTTGTCCCCTCAGGAAGGCGAGGACCTGGGAAGGGCCCAGGACGGAGGCAGACACTGTTACAGGTTGAATTACGTGCCCCCACCCCCCACATTCCTGTGTTGGCGTCCTAACCCCCAGGGCCTGGAAGTGTGACCTTATTTGGAAACCGGTTGTTGCTGATTTAGTCAAGATGAGGCCATACCCCCTCCAATGTGACTGGTGTCCATATAAAAAGGGGGACTGTGACTCAGAGACACACACGCAGGGAGAAGGCCTGGCGAGGTCTGCCTCAAGCCCAGGACCCACCAGAAGCGGCCGGGGCCCGGAACACACGCTCCCCTCGCGCCTCCAGAGGGAAGCCCTGGATCTCGGACCTCCAGGCTCCGGAAGCCTGACGGTAAGTTTCTGCTGTGGACGGCACCCAGTGTGGGGCCTCCAGCAAACGTACGAAGTGGGGGGGGGGTCTAGATTTGTGCAGTTCCTGGCCATCTGGTTGGCGGCTTTATTTCCTTCCCGGTCTGTGAGGTGATCGGCTTTCCCTTGTGAGAACAGTCCCTGATTCCTGTGTGATTCTGTCCAGTCTCTGGAGACCCTGGCACAGGGCCGCGGGTCCCAGGGGGCCTGGAACCCCGTGCCTCTATGTGAAATCTCTGGGCCTTTAAATGTCGGCAACAGAAGATTTTCAAACGGGGCTGACCAAACAGAACACCTCTGCGCAGCCGCCTGTTGACAGGCTCTGCGTGAGTGGAAGAACGATTTCGGGCCCGTGCAAGGAGGCCTCCCGGGAGGGGAGTGGGCCGATGGTCTGAGAGTCCGCTCAGGAAGCTCGGCGCGCAGTGCTTTATCGACGCTACTTTAACTCCCAGTGTGTAACCGTGGGAGGCGAGCTCCAGGATGGCCCTCCTGTGCCGGGGGAGGACACGGGCTCACCACGGTGCCCGGGTTTGCGCAGCGAGCACGCCGTGGTGCCAGGACCCCGAGCCAGGGCCGGCTGGTCCTTCAGTCCTAGACGAGACATGAGCGCTGGCTCTGAGCCACCCGCGAGCTTGGGGGGAACTTGTTTGTTGCTGGGACCAACCTGGAAGCTTCTGCTTCTCCTGGCGGGTAAGCAAAAAGGGCTTCTAGGCCCTCGGCACGAGTGCGGACCAAACAGGGCCTACTGAGACTCTGACGTGGGCTTGGGAGGGGGAGGCTGCTCTGGCGGTCGTCTGTGTCATTTAGGGCTCATCGCCTTGCGCCACAGGGACTGTTGTTCCAGCTGAGGGTACCGTCGGCCAGCAATGTGGCAAATAGTGGGCGTGACCACATCCGCCCCCCACTGCCCACCTCTGCCCACCTCCAGTGCTGCCTCAGCTGCTGGGCTGTCATGGCTCGGGGCCATGATGACGTCGGTGAAAGTTGCTGGCAGGCCCTGTGAGATCAGCAAGGGGGCAGGGCCGCGAAGGGGGTCTCTGGTGTCATTGTCGTGGCAGGGAATGGCCAGTTGCCAGGCTGGCTGGGAGGAAGGGGTTTCCTATCCTGGCTTGGTTTAGGCTGCAGTGGAGGTCATCCCGGAAAGTGGCCATGTCCCGGGATGTAGAAGAGGCACACTGTAGGGGGCTGCCCACCTCCTGAGTCCCCCTTTCCTAGAAACTCCCACCCATCCCTGTGCACGGGCATCAAGACATAACCCCACCCTCCCTACCACGTGGGGCTGGACCAAGAGTGGCCTCCTGATCAGGGACCTCTGGGGGCTTTTGAGAGAGATCGGGAGGCAGAGCCCCGTGAAGTGAGGTGCATAGACAACATGTCTTCAGGACAAGAAGACTGTCACAGAGATGAGGACGGAAGTCCTCTGGCTTCTGGGGGCTTCCCATGCTCTGATCCTTTTCTCAGACCCACTGCACCTTCCGTCCAGATGACTCATTCCCATTTTGCTTTACCTACTTGAATGAGTGACTGTTACCAGTGAGCAGAAGTGTCCCAGCTAGTGGAGGGGGTTTGAATGTGTGTCCCTTCAGGCTCCTGACCAGCTCCTGGGTTAGGGGACCTGCAGCAATCTGGCGTTGGTTCGCTGTCTGGGTCTCCTTCGGCCTTGGCAGGGGTGGCAGAAGGGTGTCTGTGACGATGTTAGGGTTAGTGAGAACCTCTGGGGATATCTAGACCCATTTGGCTGACAAGGAAACTGAGGCATAAAGCTACTTGCCCAGGGTCGCATAGCCAACAACGGGCAGAGGTACGCTTTGAGACCGGCTGTGTCCTGAATCAACCCAAGTACAGGAAGGCTGCAAAAGGACTGCATTCAAGTGACCGGTGGGGGCAGGCAGGACAGGGGTTGACGGGTATTGCCTACCGAGACAACCTGCTCCGTGCTGTCGGGTGAGGGTTTTTCTGTGCCCAGCCACAGATTCTTTTTTCAAACCAAGGAGCTGTGATAAGTCCCAAACGACAAATCAACTCTCAAGAGACATACATAGGGCTCTGGGGTTTTCCTTGGCGCTCCTGATAACTCTGCCGAGACAGTTCATGGTGGCTGGAGAAGGCCCTGGCACAATGTGGTGACTGCCCTACCCTTGGAAGTAAGAGTTCTCCTTGTGCTCCAGGTTGTCGGTTCGCAAGATCCTGGCAGCCTCTATGAAGTTTTCCAAATCAGGGATGGTCAGGAAATTCAGGATTCTACTCATTTTCCCCAGGAGGACCTGCATCTTCTGAGCTGTTGAACCAAATTCTACCTCCAGGATGGTCTTCTGCTTCATTTCACTCAGCACCTCCGGGGTTAGGAACTGTGGGAATTCACAGAAGGCTGGGTGAGGACAAATGCTGTCCAGACACCGTGCTTTCCACCCCAGGATTAGGCCCCTTGGACCAGGACCAGGTCTCCCCTGGAAACTCACTCCAGGGCAAATCTGTGCTCCTAGTCTTGTCACCAGCAATGCTTCCCTCATTTGGCCCGGGCCTGCGACCACACAGCTACAGAGACGTGGGCTGAGGCCACCCTCCAGCCTGACCCCAAACCAATGACCCCAACCAGCTCCTGGGCCCTTGTGTGGCCTGCCTTGCCAAGGCTGTGTCTTTCTAGGGGTGTCTGGCTCCTCCCCATGAATTCCCACCATGGGAGCAGGGTTGGGGAGACTGGAGCTCTACCACAGCCGGGAAACTGTCCACAGCGTCTGCCTGTCTGTCCCACTTCCAGCTCGGCCTCCCCTGGAGTGTGTCTGGGTTTTGCTGGGATGAGGCACTGCCCCAGGGAAGCCACCTCTAGGCCGACTTCTGCCTTGGTTTGTAGCCTACAGAGGCTGAGCAAAAGGTCTCCTGGAGGGAGAAATAATGAAGGATCATACCAGGATGTTCTATTTCGGTGAGGTATCCAGCTTATGAAATGCTCTCACCCAAGGATCTTATTTAAGCCTTACAACAAGGTGGTGTCCATTTCACAGACAATAATGGGCACAGAAAGTGCATGAGGTCGGCCTCGTGTCTCAGAGGAAGAGGAGGGCTAGTATGTTCTTCCTAGGGTGCCCTGGCTGCCCGGCCTCGGTGGACCTGCTGACTAGTCGGTCACATGTGTGCTATTTGCTTCGTTTGCCACCCCCCCTCCCCCTTGCACTGGCCCAGCTCCTGGGGCTGCCAGGCCTCCTGGGGTTTCTGCCTGTACCAGCCCTCACCTGCCCTTCCTGGCCACTGGCTTCCTTTCCTGGCCCCCTCCATCAGTGGGACCCCACTGTCACCCAAAGCCCAGGGGCCCAGGTCCTTGTACCCTCTCTACCCCCAGCTGCTCCCTTAGCTCGTCACTGCTGTGCGGGGGGTGACCAGCGGATGGTACCGTGTACGTACATGGCTCCTCTCTACTGGGTTGGCTGCTCTGGGAAACCCGGGGTAGGTAAGGAGGTTGGGACGTGATTATTCGGGATATAAAATGGCAGGCCTTGCCAGGCCAGGGGACCAGCTGTCCAGATCTGCTTGGAACTTTCCCAGTTTGAGCACTCAGAGTCCTGTGTCCCGGAAAACACCTCCGTCCTGGGCAAGCTAAACCTAGCACGTTCCCTACTCTCCTTTCCAGAATTTCATATGGTGTAATTTTGCCTGAGTCTGCTGTTTGGTTGCTTCCTCCATCAACCTACTTCTCTGCTCACCTCCCAGGAAACATGTCTGTCTGTCTGTCTGTCTCCCCAAGTGGCAGTCCTACTTTCAGAGACCTCGAATGTCTCTCTGGTGGGACTGTAAACAGAGCCTTCCGAGGAGCCAAAGCAGGAACAGGGTCTTGTGTGGGTCTCAGCGGGGGACCAAGGACTCCCTATTCCTCTCCTGAACTCTGGGCCTAGGGAAGGGTCTCAGGAGCCCACCTTCTTGCCCACTCACAGAACTCCCAGGTGCAGACTCCCCATTTGTAGGGGGTTGAAGAGAGGGTTTTTGCAGATGTAATTAAGTGAAGGATCTCAGGATGAGGTCATCCTGGACTTAGGGTGGGCCCTAAATCCGCTGTCTGGTGTCCTTATAAGAGAAAGGAGGGGGACACTGGACACACGGAGACACAGAGAAGACAGCTGCGTGAAGGTAGAAGGTCGGAGCGACGCTGCCACGAGCCAACGGACGCCTAGGGACCCCAGAAGCTGGGAGAGGCAAGGAAGGATTCTCCCCAGAGCCCTTTGGAGGGAGTGTGGCCCTGCTGACACCTGGAGTTCAGACTTCAAGCCTCCAGAGATGCGAGAGTTTCTGTTTAAGCCAGCCAGGTTGCGGTCATTAGTCATGGCAGCCCTAGGATGTGAACACATCTTTGCTACTTTCTTGCCCAGCCCAGGCAGAGCCCCCTGAACTTCCAGGTGCTCCTTTACTCGGAGATGAGTGTGTTGGGAGAGGAGAGAAGAGGACACCAACGGCAGGCCTGGGGACACAGATTTCCCCCTGGTTTCTGTCCCTGCCTACTGACAAGGCTGATGTGAGCATCAGGTGAGAAAACGTATGTTGACGTCTTTGCTTTTTTGGCCTGGCTTGCGGCTGGGCTCTTTGAAGCTGTTTCCTCAGCTCCACATCTCGAGGTGCTCGGGGTCTTGAGGTGCTCGGACGGTAAATGAATGCCTCTGTCAAGCGTCAGGTCAATGAAGGTGGCCGTGTCTCTCTCTGGGTAGCAGTGATGCAGAACATGGCCCAGAGAGAGGCCCGTGGCATGGCCCAGTGGGCACCTGCCTGGCAGAGGGAGTTGAGACCTTACCTTGTACTTGGTGCCCACGTTTAAGCAGATGTGTTTCTTTTGGTGGCTGAAGCAGAAAGCGATCTTATCCTGGCTCCTTATTTGTACCTTGATGTACCGGTTGATTTTCAAGGAGATGGACTGGAAAGGGGGCGCATGGACGTGGAGGCTCAGATCCCACCAGTTCCAGGCCTTCTGGTGTTTGCCTTTGGGGAAGTAGTAGCCCAGGTTTTGGCTCAGGCTCAACCTAGACCGAGAAAGGATCAGGCAAGCATGGGGCTTGGCCTGTGTGCAAAGGGCAGAGCCTTCCCTGGGGTGAATGCAGGCCTGCCGCCATCCCTGCCTCCTTCCCTTTCTCTTTCCTCCTGGCCTGGGTTCCCACCCCCGCTGACCTGCACAAACACCTGGGAAGCTTTTAAAGAACGTAGATCTCCAGGCCCCACACCAGACCGACAGAAGGGGAATCTGGAAGGTGGGGGTCAGCCCTTCCCCAGTCGGAGCATCATTCTTCCCCTTGGGTTTTTTTATTTTATTTTATTTTATTTTATTTATTTATTTGACAGAGAGAGACACAGCGAGAGAAGGAACACAAGCAGGGGGAGTGGGAGAGGGAGAAGCAGGCTTCCCGCAGAACAGGGAGCCTGATGTGGGGCTCGATCCCAGGACCCTGGGATCATGACCTGAGCCGAAGGCAGCCGCTTAAAGACTGAGCCACCCAGGCGCCCCTCCCCTTGGGTTTTGATGGGTTGAGATTCAGGGGTAAGATGGGGTATCTCTTGTATGCCTTATTTGAGAAATTTTTTTTAAGTGCTTTATTTTAGGCTAAGTCCAATGTCTTAAAACTTTTGGCCCTTAATTTTTTTAAAAGATTTATTTATTTATTTGAGAGCGAGAGAGCGCGCGCGCGTGCAAGCAGGAGGAGGGGCAAGGCAGAGGGAGAAGCAGACTCCCCGCCGAGCAGGGAGCCCGATGCGGGGCTCGATCCCAAGACCCTGGGATCATGACCTGAGCTGAAGGCAGATGCTTAACTGACTGAGCCACCCAGGTGCCTCTTTTGCCTGTAATTTTATGTATGACTCTGGGTAAGTCACTTATGTCCTCTAAGAAAATAAAAGTAGTTCCTAGATTTCCCTAAGTTCTTTTCTGGCCCTAAAAGTAAGTGCCATTATGGAGAAGAGGCCCCACAGAATGTAGCGATACTATTTGAGATAATTGGCTGAGTTTCTTGCCTCCACCGGCTACCTGGTGCTTCCTGCACCTTTCAGACATGTTTCTATACAAAAGGCCCTCAGGGCAGGGCAGATACCCCTGAGAACAAAGTTGTCAACAAGAAAATAGTGTTTTAAAAGCTCAAAGGAAAAAAATGAAAAACAAAACAAAACAAAACAAAAATTAAAGAAAAAACGAAAAACACAGAAAAATAATAAAACACAAAAAATATTTAAGAAAATATTCTTAAGGGGTGCTTGGGCGGCACAGTTGGTTAAGTGTCTGACTCTTGGTTTCAGGTGGTGGTCTCAGGGTTGTGGGATCAAGCCCCGCTGCTTAAGACTTGCTCTTCCTCTGTCCCAGCCAACCCTCCCCCACCACTCTCAAATAAACAAATCTTAAAAAAAAAAAAAGAAAGAAAGAAAATATTCTTAAAAACCAAGGCTGGCAGAATCAAAATATTTTTTTTGAATTAAAAGCATAAATCTGGTTTTGACAATCAAGAAGAAAGGAAGTATAAAGTTGATGCAAGATGGTAGGCATTTCCCACTCCATGACCACTTAGTAGGGAAGGGAAGGGGGAAATCTTGGGAAAAAAAAAAAAAAGGAATACTTACCCCCAAAAAGATGGAGAAAGATTTTGAAGTGGCCAGATTACCTTGATTTGGTAAGATGAAGTTTCCCACCATGGCCAGAAATGGGAACTGAAGAAGTAAGTTCAGCGATCACAAAATATTTAGAAGTTTGGTTTTTGCGCACAATACGTGTGTCTCCAAAGCCCTGACCACACCCTGCTCTCTGGGGCACCTGGGACAGAGGGGTACTGGGTTTTTCTCAGGTAATTCTCAACTTGACTCTCAGCAAGTGTAGAAAACATGGAGCCAAGAGAAGTGGTCACCGTGAGTCTCTGATTATTGCTCTTTCACCCTTGTGGAAGCAATGGCGACAAGGACAGAGTGCCTTCCCTGAGGTCAGGGACCTGCCTTGCTGCCACCATGATACCCATCTCTCCATGTGCAACAGGTGTGGGTCGGAGAAAGAAATTCACAAGCGAATGAGGGAGAGAGAGACCTAACCCAGTGAGGGAGGAGGGCTGTGCGGACTGCGGATCAACCCTTAACCACACTGCCTCTCCGTGGGGAAGGGTGTTTGGGACTCACGACCCAAACTTACCAGATTTCTCTGTTTTCATCATAGAAGGTGGCATGGCCAGAGTTGTTGATAAGGGCCTGGACACACCTTTCTTCACTGTCTTCCAGAATGATGTATGTGAACTCTCTCTGTTTTGTACTGAGGATGAGCATAGCCAGGTTTCCTGACGGGTAGCTAGAAGACAGTTAAGGCACACGCAGCTCCTTGGGGTCCCTGGGAAAGGCAGAGCCCTGCCGAGGATGCGGGCCTCAGGAACACCCACAGCCCAGCCCTGACCCACCCACTTTTGAGGCGCCGTATGTGTCAGTATGTGTCAATGTGAGCGTCCCTGGGCTTCAGTGGATACTGTATCTGGCCTGATCCATCAGGAAAGAGGATTTGGAAGACAGTCTCACTGGGGTAGAGAGTTAATTTAACATCATGGTGATGCACCTGGGAAGAAAAGACGAGCTTATTATAAAGAGTGCACAGGGGCTGATTGTCCCAATTCAGAGTATGGTGTCACGAGAGTGCTCGGGATGGGTTGACTCTCCGAATGCCCACACTGCCACTCCACCCATCACTACCACCACCTTGCTGAGGATTCGGGATAGGAAACCTCTCAGGGCCTCCTCAGTTTATTCATCTATATGCCCAGGAGCCAGAGAGGGATCACTCTGTGTGTGTGTACGTGCGCATGTATATTTTAAACTGTCATTGTCATTTCAATCCTCTAATGGTTATTGGTTGTTTTTCTTTCTTTTTTCTTTAGAAGATTTTATTTATCTGAGAGAGAGAGAGAACATGAATGGGGGAGGGGCAAAGGGACAAGCAGGCTCCCTGTTGAGGGGGGGACATGGGACTCGATCCCAGGACCCTGGGATCATACCTGAGCCAAAGTCAGACACTTAACCAACTGAGCCACCCAGGCGCCCAGGTTGTTGGTTGTTTTAGTTTTCTAGGGTTGCTGTAACAAAGTAACACCAATGGAGCACTTCAAAACTACAGAAATTTATTTTCTCATAGAGGTGGAGGCCAGAAATCTGAAATCAAGGTGTTGGTAGAGTCAGTTCTTTCTGGAGGCTCCGAGGAAGAATTTCTTATGTGCCTCTCTCCTGGGTTTTGGTGATGACCTGTGATCCTTGTTCCTTGGCCTGTCTATTCAGTGTCTACCTCCATCTTCATGTGCTGTCCTCCCTGGGTCTCTGTGTCTTCACATGGCCATCTTCTTGAAAGAATACCAGTCACACCGGATTAGGGGCCTGCCCTGCTTCAGCATAACCTCCTCTTAACTACATCCTTAAAGACCAATTTTCCAAAGAAGGGTCCGTTCTTAGGCACCAGGGCTTAGGACTTAAATATATCTTTTTAGGGGGATACAATTCAACCCATAACTTTGGCATTGTATTCAGGATTTTTAAAATCTCTTCTTGATTCAGTTTTAGTGAATTATATTTTTCTAGGACATTGTTCATTTTAGGTAAATTTTCAAATTTATTGTCCTAAAACTGTTGTCATATGGTGTTTTAAAAAAAACCAAAACCCTCTACTGCCTCTGTAGATATGACCTTGTCTTCATTTTTTTTTTTTTTTATTACGACTATCTTCTCTCTCTCTCTCTCTTTTTTTTCCTGGATAAACCTCACCTGAAGATTTGCTTTTTTAACGAGTCTTTTCAGAGAGTCAGCTTTTGGTTTGTTTATTCTATTTGTTTCCCATTGTATCAATTTTTAGTCTTATTATTATCATGTATATACTTCTACCTTCTGTAGATTTTCTATATGACTCTATTTTATTTTTCTAATTCCTCAAATTGAATATTGAGCTCATTGTTTTCATCTTTCTTCTTCTTAATCCTCCTCCTCTTTCTTAATATAAGCATTTAAAGCTATAGCATTGCTCTCAAAATATCATTTTAGCTGTTTCCCATGCATAGAGATGTTTACCTTTCATTCCATTCTAAATATTTTTGAATTTCCAATATGATCTCTTCTTTGACACACAAGTTATTTGCAAATGTGTTTTTAAATTTGCAAATGCACGAGTTGCTTTGGGTGATGTTATTATGACTAATTAAAACTCACTGGGGTAAGAGAGCATAGTCTATGTGATATCAGCTGTTGAGCCTTTGCTGAGACTTGTTTTGTGGCTCAGTATGTCATTGATTATTGGAGCTCTTTCACATGTGGCTATTTCCTTGTGAGGGACACACGTCCTTGGTCTTGTGTTCCCATCTGGGCATGAATACCCAAGCGCCTGGATTATCAGGATGAGCTGGTCTCCTTCTGGCCCTCCGCTCCCCAGCACACCGCCCCACCTCACCCACCCCCTGCTCACATGCTCGCTCTTCTGGTGTCTCGGTTTCTATCTCTTTCTGGTGTTGATTATGTCCCTCACTTTCTTACACACTCTGCTCTACATTTCTGATGCTTTTTACATGCCATCTACATTTCCCAGGTGTTTGCAGTAGGAAGGCTTTTTGGGTCATCTAGTGTCCCACATCGCTCTAAATGGGTCAGCAGTTCTCCAGCTATTATTTTTAACTGTGGAAGACCCCTTTGTTCAAGAAAGCTTACAGCAGAATGCTTAAATCTAAGACAATCAAAGAAAAAGATGCAGCCATCTGAGGAGCTGGGGCTGCGGGCTTCTCAGGGCATGCCTTGGAATGCCCAGGAATCTGGGCATCTGGGTAAAACCCACTTGAGGTGACAAAGGTCCGCAAACAGACTCCATCCCCACACCCAGCACTGTGCCGACCACTTTCTTCCACAGCACAAGGACCCTACAATGTAGGCACGGTCACTGGCCCCCCTGCAGATGAGGCTAAATGATGAACACCAAGTTGTCTAGTAGAGGAGAGTCAGAGGCCAGCCATCTGCCCCTCACCTGCAGGCTTGTCCGTGGAACACGCTGCCTCCAACCATTAAGCTCCTGGCTACTTCCCACATTCAGTCTGCACATCACTGCTTTTTTCTTCTTTAACCTAAAAAAGGGCTTTGTAAAGACATCCGGGGCTGGTTTGTTCCCGATGGCCTGGAAGGAGCTTCTAGCTATTACTCACGGGAGAGGATATTTGTATTTTAGGTCTTCTGTTCACACAGTCCATGAAAGCCCAACTTTCTCTGAGACGCTGTCTGCCGTCAAATTCAATTGTCATGGAATGACATTTTCCTGGCCATGAGGACCCCACAGGCAAAGCAAAATCTCTGACCTGGAGGTGGAGTTGTCACATTTTCCCTCACTGGGAATTATATAACAAATGGCTTATCTAAAAGCTGACATCTCATCACCATTCGTGTGGGGAAGCTGAAGATCTCTGAAGGCTTCCAACACCCTCACCATTCCACGTCTGGTACAATCTAGAGAGTCCCCTGGCTTTCCCTTGATTACTCCGTCTGCAGGAGTTCTGGCTGGTCCACTGACTTCGCTTCTTCATACAGGCCCAAGAGATGAAGGGATACTGAACTTTCCATTCCTTTCTGGAGGCTGAAAGAGTCATACCTTGGTTGACAGTGTTGGTTTCTGGTTCTCTCCTACTTTTGCCACAAGGTGAGGCCAGCCTCATCACTTTAGGATGTTTGGTTGCTTTTCCACTTAGTGCAAACTGTTTTCATTTTCCTCTGGACACACAGCAGAAATCCACTTCCGAGCTCTCTTGCATCTAGGAGGCGTCATGTGACTTCTCTTGGTTGATAGATTTAAGCCTAGACCACGACTTCACTTCCTGTCCATGCCACGGGACACAAAGGACTCCAAGATGGCAGAGACCCGTAATGAAAGAGCCCAGATTCCCAGGAGCCAGCCTCAAGGAGAGCCACTCAAGAGAGCTAGGAGACTCAAGTCAGATGTGACACGAGCAAGAAACATACATCTGGTTATTAAACCTCTTAGCTTTGGGAACTGTTTCGAGAGGAGGCTCTATGTCCATGTGACAGTCATTTTAAGATTTTTTAGGTCTCACTCTCTTCAACTGTAAAGTGTTGATAGCAATACCATACCCCATGAGATTGTTGGGAAAAGCTCAGCTTACATTACATGTAGAAGTGCTTTATCACTTGCATGGTTTTACACAAATGTGAGGTTACATTAGGCTTCTTGTGTTCTCCAATTTAGTAAATAGTTACGTAGCATTTACTCAGCTGCTCAGGCCAAAATTCTTAGACTCATCCTTTCATCTTCTCCTTCTCTCACATGTATTGAATTAAGAGAAAGCCTTTTTGATTCTTCCTTCAAAAAAATAGAGGTGGTGCTTTCCACCACCTCTGCTGCCCCGCCCTAGGTGAGAGGTGCTTTCCACCACCTCTGCTGCCCCGCCCTAGGTCATCTTTCACCTGAATTGATGCCCTGGCTCTCAGCTGAACTTCCTGTCTCCATTCTTGCCTCATTAAATCTATTCTCTGCACATAGCCAGAAAGGTTCTTCTAAAGCATAAATCAGATGATGTTCCTCCCCTGCTCCAGATCCTTGTGACTTCGTATCATCCTTTGGATAAAATCTAAAGTCTTACTAAGATTACCCACGAGGCTCTACCTGACCAGGGTATCTGAGCTCATTCCCTATCCATCTCTCACTTGCCCACAGCTGTCCTTGAGCTGTTTGCTCTGCCCCTCATTTCATTCATGCCTAGACTCAAAGGGCACTTCCCCATCTGCCCTATGGGTATGAGAGCAACTCTCCTCTCGGGCCAACAACTCACGAGCCCCTTATGCTGCTTTATCCATGGCTCCTAACAATACCTGACAGGGCACTCAACAGTTTGTTATACATTGGCTGTCTCCTTATCTGGAATATAAATTCCATGGGCACAGGGGCTTTGTTCACCCTTGTATCTCCAGCACCTAGAAGAGGCCCTGGGGCATAGTTGGTTCTTACTTCATGTATTCAGAAGGCATAAAGCCTATCTTCCTCATTCCCACTTCAGTGACTCTTTTTGAGCTTCAGACCTGATTGTTAGCTCACTCTGAATGACTCTAATACTTTGAGATGTTATCACTTATGTATAGTATCCAAATATTACAATATACATTTTTACAAACTTACCGTGTAAGTGTTTTTCTTTAAAAGGCTTTATTTTTTAGAGCAGGTCCCAGCAAAACTGAGCAGGAAGTACAGAGATTCCCATACATCTTTTTTCCCTACACCCATGCACAGACTCGCTCACTTCCTACACCTTGCACCACAGTGTCCATTATAGTCAATGAACCTACAATGGCACATCATTATTGCCCAGACTCCATAGGTTGCATTAGGGTCCCCTCTTGGTGTTTTATATTCTATGGGTTTGGAAAATGTATAATGGCATGTGTCTACCATTACTGTTTCATACAGAGTATTTTTACTGCCCTAAAATTCCTCCATGCTCTACCTATTCATCCCTCCTTTATATTGTTTTCATAGTTTTGTCTTATAGTTGGAATGACTCAAGGACTTACGTCATATAGTAGGAATCCTACAATATGTAGACTTCTCAGATTAGCCTCCTTGACTTAGTAATATGAATTTAAGTTTCCTCCATATCTTTCTATGGCTTGATAGCTCATTTCTTTTTAGCACTGAGTAATATTCCATTGTATGGATGTACCAGTTTATTTATCCATTCACCATGTGATCAATTTTTGATATAGATTTTAAATTTATTAGGGGATGGAACTATATATTGTATAGGAATCTCAATGAACCCTAGCAAAAGCCCCAGTTAATCTGCCCTTAACCCACACACTCAAGTGTGCCTCTCTATGTGGAACACATTTTTCTTGCTTGTATTCATGTTGTATATTCTGACAGCTCCCTGATGGTGTGTGTGTATGTCTCACCTGAGCAAAAACCCAGCACAAAAAACACCAACACACTGCCCTACCTACCTCAGTCTTGCTCTGTACCCAGTCTGTATCTATTTCTAATTTCTTCTTATGACGAACAACATGACGGGTTTTTTTGACTTCTGTCACAGACTCCTTGACTGGTGGTGGTTGATTCCATAAATGAAATGTAAAAGTAGATGTATCTGGGGCTGCTCCTGCAGTTCTGGGGTTGAGTAAGTCTGGTAGAGAAGAGAAAGAAAGTTTAGACCTATCTTTCTCAGGGCATCAAAGAGAGTGCGAGGGTTTGAGATATTGGCCATATTCCCCCAAGTAACAAAGGCTGCCCGGTAAGTAGAAAGAGCAAACCTTTGGAGAGAAATGTAGGCGGTGAATTTCCAGCTTTCTCATTTTCTGCATTCATTCATTCGACATATATTTATCAAGAGCCTACAATGTGCCAGCCCAGTGCTAGCTGCCAGACACCATGGTGAAGACCACCTAGGCCAGACTTGGGGATGCTGGGGGTGATCTACCAGCCATGTGCCAATAACCAGTGTGGCTGCTAACTCTGTTCGTTTAAAAAATAGGTGAAAGTGGGGAATCATTAAAAAAAAAAGGAAACATACTTTAAACATGTTATTTTAACTTAAAACATAAATGTGTATTAGCACACCATTTTAAAATGTAGGGCAAGATCTTTGTGGGTGGGTCTGACGATGGGCTGTCTGGTCACGTTCATAACTATAATTTTCAGTTTTGGTAGTTTCTAAATAGTCTGAATGCAGAATCATGGACTTAAAAAAAATCCTATCTATTCCCCAATCTTTAATGTTTGTTTTGTCTGCATTTATTTAAAGCAGTTTTTTTAGGGGAGGGGGGTGGGGGAATGGGTTAGCCCAGTGATGGGTATTAAGGAGGGCACGTATTGCATGGAGCACTGGGTGTTATACGAAAACGATGAGTCATGGAACACTACATCAAAAACTAATGATGTAATGTATGGTGATTAACATAACATAATAAAAATTAAAAGATAAATTTCTTTATAACTTGTTATATTAAAAAAATAAAGCCTTTTTTTTTCAAAAGCTATTTTCTTATTGAGTTTTTTTTAAAAACATTCAACTTAGTTTTCACAGCAACAAGTTTCCTTTTATCATCATTTCCATCCATTTTGATAATAGTTGAATTTTGGAACTAAATGAGGAGGGCAGCTGAGTAAAAATCCCTGCTCCCAGTGACTGCCCGCGGGCCTCAGACAAATAGCTGGAACAGAGGGGCCAGAACAGCTCGGTTCCCTTGGCAACTAACTGGGTCCAGGGGGAAATCAGTTAAGAGAGCTTACTCGGCCCACCACTGTTGGAGGAGGTCAATGGGAGCATGTGACCACTGGTTGACCTCTGACCTAGAGCCAGGTGATCAGAGGCTCCTCACCTGCTCCTCATCCTTGGAATGCACCTTCCGCCCCGCAGGCCCTTCCCACAGCTGGAGCCATTTTCAAGGACTCCGCCTTAAGAGAGCCGCGTGTAGTCGAGACCGTCTGGCCCACATGCTGGGACTGCACCCAGTGCAGGCCTCTAGGTAAACTTTCAAGACCTGGCGGGCGGATGTGGACATCTACTTGTCTCTCGGCTGCCCAAGATGAGCCTCGGAAGTAAGTTCTCTTGCTTATGGAGACGGCCACCTACTGGTCTGGAGAGGCCTTTCTGGAGTCTCTCCTTGCCCTCCAGGTTCTAATTTCACCCGGGGCCCTTGGCTGGGAGAGCTCGCAGGAAGGGACCCGAGCAGGCCTGGAGGCTGAGACAGCGGGGAGGGTAAGCTTCCAACAGGTGACGGGAATTCCCAGCATCAGCACGGTGCTGTCGAAGGCCACAGTGGGACCGGGTTAGAGGTGACCGGTGACTCCGGGGAGGCAGGCAGGGCATTCCCTTGTTCACTCATTTAGTAAAGATCTACTGTGTACCTGGGTGCCCAGAACTGTCCTCTGTATCGGGGATTGCTGTAGTCCCTGCTCTCCATTCTAGTAGAGGAGGTAGATGCTAAACAAGTGAACGGATATAGCTTACCATGCCGAATGGCTAGGAGTGCTTTGAAGGAAAGCTAAGCAGGGTGAGAAGGGTGGAAGATGTGTGTGTGTGTGCGTGTGTGTGCGTGCGTGTGTGTGCGTGTGCACTCTCATAAAGGGTAGCCAAGGAAACTATTTCTGAGAAGGTGACAGTAAAGCAGAGACCTGAATAAAGTGAGGGAGCAAGCCACAGGGATATTGGAGTGAAGAGTGCTCTGGGCAGAGGAACAGCAAGTACAAAGGCCCTGTGGTAGGGGATGCCTGGCCTATTCCATGAAGAACAAAAAAACCAGTGTGTCTGGAGGGGAAAAAGTGAGAACCTTCTAAGCCACATGAGGAAGGTGGGCATTTTCCGGGAGGCAATGGAGGGCCAATGAGGAGTATTAAAAAGATTATTTGGGAAACAATGCAAAGGAAGGACTGAGAGAGGAGAAGAAGGGAGTCAGGGAGACTAGGGAGAGCTCCTTCCAGGGGAGAGATGAAGGTGCCTGAGGTAGAGTCAGTGAGAAGGGGGGGCGGGCGGTGGGAGATGGGAAAAGGAGAATCTAGGACTATGGCATGTCTAAGGAACTAAAGAGGCCACCAACTAGAGCTCAGAGAGGAAGCTTTTCCTCAGGAATATGACGAGACAGAGGTGGCAGGGCAGGGTCATTTGGAGACCCGTGTAGGACTGTGAGGAGCACCGTCCTGCTCCAGGGCTTGCTTTTATGACTGATAACGATTTGTCAGAGGGAAAGAGCTGACGGGAGCGCAGCCACAGTTCCTGAGTGTCCATTAGAAATTAATAGAAGACATTTCTGAAGAGGTAAAGATAAAAGAGGACATTTATATGCTCATTTTGTTTCCCTGTCAGAAAGCTAAAATCATGGACACCCTGGTCTGTGCTGTACATCGAGCTCTGCCATTATGAGGGCGAGGCTTAGGCCACCTTTCTGAGCCTCGGTTTCCTTAAAATGGGATTATGCTGTCTACACAGACCTATGGAGTTACTGTGAATAATGCCCGCACGGTGCCGGCCACCGGGAGAGGGTCCATAGATCTGTAGCCTTCACGCGGGGAGCTTTGAATTGTGACGGCTCATGATTCAGGCTGTGTAGTGTTCTCTCACCTCTTTTCCCAGATGAGATGGTTCTGAACAGGAAGGGCTACCTAATTTGAGAGGCCCTGTTGCAAAATGAAAATGCAGGGGTCCTTGTTCTAAAATTATCAAGAATTTCAAGCCAGTGACAGCAGCAGGGCATTAAGCCAAGCACAGGGCCTCTCTAAGTATAGAGCCCCGAGTGACTGATCATAGGTCCCACACCCATGCAGCCAGCCTGGGCTCGGAAAGCGGAGTGTGCAGAGACATGGGTCTGTGTGCCTGGAATGGGGAATGGTCTGCGTATCGGAAGTAAATGAGTTTGTATCTCAAAAGAGGCTGGGAGATTTCTTTGGGACTGGTAACAACCAGGACGTGGAGGGGTTGCCTTTTATCTATTTGAAATGTTGCTTTTTTTGTATAAAAAAGGTCAAACCTTCGAGGCTTCAGTTGTCCAGAGGAGCAGGGAGTTCGCAAGGGTGGGGGTGTGGCACTATGGGAATCCGGCCATTATCAAATCTCATTTTCCAATTGGAAGTCATACCCTGGCCATGTGACAGCAGAGTATCCTGGTAGGCCTTAATTTCCCAAAGGAGAAAAAAATCATGCATGCCTACACCCATCAAACAAAACAAAACAAAACAAAACACTTATTGAGTGCCTACTGGGTGCTTTGCTTGAGGTGCCAAGGGATGAAAGACACAGGTGTCTACAGCCCAGAGGGAACAGAACTATGAGCAGTAGACAAATACAGCATCACAAGTGGAAGAGATGTTTGTTGTGTTTTGGCAGCTGAGCATCTGAACCCCCCTCCTTGTTTTGGGGGCACCCCACTGTGTGAGTATTGGTGGAAGGCAGGGCCTTCCCACTATGGAAACTGAAGGTAGCCATTCCTTCTTCTCCTTGCCTCCTAACTCCAGTGAGGACACGAGACCTAGGCTTAGAAGGCCCCCACTTTCTCTTCTCCAGACCCACTGGCCTTTTGTTGTTCATTGAACATGCCAAGGGGATGAGCACCAGGTTTGGCCTGAGAGGTCTTGGGCAGAATGTGGCTTGTGCCCACACAATGGCTAGATGATCTCAGGTAAGTCTCCTTGCCTCCCTGAGCCTTCGCTTCTTTATCCTGCTTCACATGGTTAGGAAGATCCGTTTGAATCAGAGAGAGTATGTTTGAGTAGCTAGTCCACACCAGTTACTCCCGAAGAGTGAGGTCAGGGGCATGAATCAGTACTGGGGGACTGGAACATGATCTTAGGAAGGAATCTGAGGCTCCGTGAGAAAAAGCACCAGGACTGGTTAGCTATGTCTGCCGTGGGTATTCTCGCCATTTCTATGTTAGTTGGATTTAGTCATCTGAAAGATATGTGGTGGCTTTGAGTTTCTGAATGAATTAGCCTCATGGCTTAGGCTCGTGGTCCAAGTTTTCCACAATTAGACTTAAAAACACTGGCAACCTCCATGATTGGCAAATCTTAACAGCTGGACCTCAGATGTCTTCCGTGTCTGGTAAAGGGGCTAATTCTTCCCCAAACTGTGTGTTAAGAATCTAGATAGCCCCTCAAATCTAGGTTAGATGCCTTCCTATGGGGCTCCATAGCCTCCTCTTCCTACTATAGCACTTAACCCTTGTGTATGTGCATCCCCTTGCTTTCTTATCTATCCTCACCCACACCCCCCCAAAAAGGATAAGGTGGCCCCAGGCTGTGTCCATCTTGCTTGATATTTTATCCCTGGCAGCTAGGACCTTGCTAACCCAGCAGGTGTGCAAGCTAGGCAAGGAGCATTTCTGCCTCCTTTAGGGTACATGGCAGAAGGTGAGAGGCAGCCAGATGCCCACAGGAGAGCCGATCACGGGATGGAAAATGGGAAAGCGGTCCTTACTTTCACGTTTCTTCATAATCCAGAGGATCGTTGTCTTGTATTTTTCAAAGTTTTTCTTCAACCTAAAAGGAATGTGAATTACCTTTAAAAGCTGGGACTAAATTCATGTGTACACGTCATGCTACACAGTGTATACAATGCTGGAGCCTGCTGGGTGTTTCTCATAGTTGAAAAATCAGGCCCATTGCTCTGCTTTTGGACTCTGTTTTTCTTCCAGTCAGTACTCAGGAATAAAGGGACAGCACATGGTATTCACTCAGTGCTTGCCTCCTGGACTCTAAGCTGACTCCCAAACCCTTCAAAATGAATTCAACAAGGGTCATCTCGGGAGCTAGACAGGGCTGGGAGGTCCAAATGCAAGCCTGGGTCTATGAGTTAAGCTTGCGCCGTTTGATCTTTCAATGGCTTGTACATATCCCAGTGAAGGTTACATTTGGAAATAGCTGGGAGGAATAGCATTGGACAGTCACTCGAGAACCCTTTGCATGTAGTGGAAACATTTCAAATAATCTTATTCAAAATGACTTATCATGAAAGCCACACTGAGGCACAGCTCTTCAAAATGATCAAGCCCTTACCCCCCCCCCCCCTTGAATGTCAATATACAAAGCAAGTCATCTTGGGACTTCAATGGCTTGGGCTGTTTTACTTCCAAATAAGGGTGGTCTCCAGCATGCTTCCTGGTTCTCAGATCACAGCTCCTTTGAAAGGGAATGTGCTGGAAGGAGTGAGCTTCCCAGGCTTAACTGGATCTGAGAAGAAGGCTTTTGACAGGACAGATTTTAAAGTTCTCAGTTCTGCATTAGACGTACAGGAGGCCTGAATGTGCACCTTGCTTGCTAAGGTTTCCGGTAGTTGGATAAAAGAAAATCAAGTTTCCACGCACCACAGACTGGATGTACAAACGGAGTTCAGGAGCATTTTGTGACCTGGGACCATGACAACTAGAAAGACTTGGTGCCAGCAAGTCTGCAATAACCTTATTGTTCCCCACTCCAGTTGGGGATTCTGGCCATGACCCCCAGTTCGGTGCAGCGCATGGTTTTTCCCACTCTGGGGAGCATGGAAGAGCATTAGCTAACCTATGATGAAGCTAGGAATTTCTTGTCAGATGGCTAGGACCTTGATCCCCCATTGTCCCCTCTCCTACAAGGCCAGGGCTCTGAGCCTTGCTCCCCAGACTTCTGTATAATCTCATGGTCCCTCCAAGACTTTTCTTGCCCTGGATTTCCAACCTCTGTCACTGTCAGCCTTTGATACTATCCCGAACCTCCCATGCTTGTAGATTTCCTTGCTCTTGACTTTTGGCAGCCAGATCATTCTGTTCACCTGCCCACTGAGCTTGCGCTTGCTCTTGTACCTGCTCTTTTGACTCAGACCCGCCTGGCCCTGGCCTTGCTCTTTTCTCTGTGATGGCCCAATTTAGACTTCCCCTGCTGTTACTGCTAGCCTGCCTGAACCCACTGACCAATAGCTTGATCTCTCCTGTCACTTACATAATTCCCAGTTTCCTTCTGGTTTCACTCTCCAGAATTCCGGTCATGGGGACGTCAATATCCTCTTCCTGTTCTTTGCGGGCCGCCATTTCTTTGAGCATGGTCCTAAACACTGCCTGATAGGAGCTGCCGAGAAGCTACAAAAGGAACAGAATGAAACACCCAGAAAAGGGGACTTAACGGCTTACCACTGAAGCACTTTTCTGACTCCCAAAGGTGCCAGGTGACATTTCACCATGCTATTAGAAAAACACAAACAGGGCGCCTGGGTGGCTCAGTTGGTTAAGCGACTGCCTTCGGCTCAGGTCATGATCCTGGAGTCCCGGGATCGAGTCCCGCATCGGGCTCCCTGCTCAGCAGGGAGTCTGCTTCTCCCTTTGACCCTCTTCCCTCTCGTGCTCTCTCTCATTCTCTCTTTCTCAAGTAAATAAATAAAATCTTTAAAAAAAAAAAAAAGAAAAACACAAACAGTGGGAACAGTAGTGTGGCTAGCAAGATTTGTTTTAAAGAATATTTCCATTATCCTCATACTCCTCACTCCCTAGTTCGCTCCAGGTTTGTTTGTTTAACAGCCGTATGCCAACAAATCTTTTCAGAGCATGAAACTACCCTTTTTCCAAATGTGGAGATGGTTATAGAGCATAAAGACGCTTCCACGATTTACGAGCACACCAGGCTTTCTGAGTTGCAGGAAAGGCCTGGCAGGAATGGTTGCTTATTTAGTGAAGGATGGCAGTCTTCAGGAAGGCGGGGTAGCACCTAATATGATATAAAAGTGGACAATTCTGTATTTAGAGATTCTTCCAAAGTAATCATGTTGCAAGCTGCCTTTTGATTTTGTAAGTTGGAGCATTCTATCCTAAGTCTGTGAAGCTAATAACCACGACTGACTCATAGATGGGTCCTCACGGAAGTTTCTTTTCTGGATCCCTTTTGACAGAAGGTGAAATTTGGCTTGCTGTCGAAGAAAACCATGGCACTTTCATGTTGCCCTGCTCACCTACAAGTTGAGGTTGTTATGGTGGTTGGTCAACACCTGATCATGTATAGCATGCCATTAACGTATTAGCCTCCTATAGTAAGTGGAAGGCTGACATATCCAAAGTTGCGTGTGGGCTGGGACAAATATAAGAATGTAGCTTGTGGTTGGCCAGATTTTCTAGGTTGGGGGACAAGCTGGGGTGCCCCTGTCTGGCTTGCCCAATTCCCAGCCTCTGCATACCCCTGTCCCATTGCTGGTGCTAATTAAACGAGCAGGCTATTACAGGAGGTGGCTCTGATGTGGTGGGGCTTAGGTGAGCAAACCAGAATCTTAGCCTATATGAGATGTCTCAACGTTATGCATCGAAAACTAAGGACAACCGATCACAAACAGCCAATTAGGTGTTAAGCGGTGGCCAATCAAAAATGTCCTTGCTCTGCTTCTGCCTCTTCTTTATAGAAGCCTCTCCCCAGCTCCAGCCAGTGGAGTGCTCCTGTCACATGGAGCCCTCCCAGTGCGCTGGGCGCAACCACACGGGCGAGGTCTCCCTTCTGCCTGTGACCGCAGCTCCGTCCGGCTGCCACGGAGAACCTCAGCTGACGGGTGTGCTGACGGGTTCTGAATAATTCAGGTTTCTAATTAAAACAATTCCTTGAGATTTCAGCTCTTGCTGAAAAATCTTCCTAAAATGCCTGAGCTTACTTTCCTGTCTTAGTAAGTCCAATGAGGTGAATTTGAGTTCCAGAAATTGTGTTTTCTCCCTTTAATGTGGTTTTTCAGTATTTGAAAACCAATTCTCATTAATATAATGTATACAGAAGCAAGTGTGGACAGCAAGAAATTTAGGGCTAAATATGAACTGAGACCAGAAAATTTCCCAATTAAATAATTAAAAAAGAACCCAAACTAGGTTTTTTTTTTTTCCACTTTTTCTATTGTAAATTTAGAAAAATATATCTGCTTAATTTTGAGTTCTGGGGACACAAGATTTCACTCTTGTGATTGTAGTTAGTACCTGGAATCCTGAAAAAGTTTCTTAGCCATAACGGAAAGGATGCATACTAATGTTTTCACCCACATCAACATGCACTGTAAGTCTTAGAAGTAAGTTGACACAGGAAGTTAGAGGCACCAGGCTGTACCAGCCAGTAAAATATTCATGCAGGAAAGACAACGTAGCAAACTGCAGAGGTAAAGCTTACTCAAACTATTATGACTTCCCATCTTCTGTCTGGTTACGGGCTCCAGCCAGGGAAAGGACGTCCCTTGATGCTCGGGGCTGGTTCTGCGCCCCTCTGCAGGTGGTGGCAGCAGGCAACAGATCTGGGGAGGGTCATCTGCCACTGGTTGCCGTGGTGTTTGCTTGCGTGGCAGAGGCTGATGTCTATGGTGTCTGTCTTGCCAGGCTGCCCCGTTCTTGGTTTCCTGGTCAGAGACAGCAGGTGTTTCTTGAGGCTTTTGTTGTCTGTGCCTGTTGGGGTTTCTGAGTTGCTGTCTTTCAACACTTCATCGCCAGGAATAGATGAAGCAGAACGAAAACTCAGGGAACTCACCGCCATGACATTCCTTGGGTCCTGCGTTTCCTAGCCAGTCTCACTTCTGTCCACCTTTCAGAAGCTTCTTCTGTTTGTTTTATAGATGACGTCTAGGGTTTTAAGCTGTGCTAAGTGGGAAAAGTACATCTCCATCTTTCTGGAATTGAACTTCATTTTTCTTGAAGGTTTCTACAAAGACTGATTTGCCTTGATATCTAGATAAATGAAATGTTTTGTTTTGTGCTCTGCCGCCTTTAAAAGTGATCTGGAGGGTGTTTATATTACCAGCAGGACTCTGAAAGTAGGGCCGTGGAATGCTACATTTGGTTTTCTTCTGACCCACTTTGATGTAATATGTGTCATTCATACCTACTTCTGTTTTAAGAAAAGCTCTCTTGGGCTGTGAGAACAATGGAGTGAAGCTAGGAATCCCTGCGCTCTAGAGGCAGTTCCTGCCTGGCCTCGGGCCACCCTGCTCCAACATCTGGAGGAAGGTGGTCTTGAGTTTTTTACTTACCTTGTCATCTATGTTCTCAGCTTCCAGTGAGTCAATGGGCTCATTTAATAAATCGTTCCAAAAGTTCTCTTTGGTAACAAAATCCAAGACTTTTGATTTTGGAAGGCACAGCAGAAGGAAAGGCATTTGGAAAAAGAACCATAACAAGGAACAGACAAAAACAAAACCAAAAGGAAACAGAGTTATGGCATTTATCCTTGCCTGTTTAAATAAAAAGGCATGCATCATTGTTAAGACTTGAAGTAAATTCACCAAATTACCCAAAATTCAACTTGGGGATATTAATAAAATAGGAATCAAAGGGTCAGTTTCAGTGGCTGACTTGAGAAAGTATGTGTTCCTGATGGATGGCAAAGGTTTACCTGACAAAGTGACATCTGAGTGGGTCCCGAATGAAGGAAATGAGCAAGCAGGCAGATAACTGGGAAAGAACATTCCTGGCAGGAGGCTAGGAGGTGCAAAGGCCCAGCGGTGACAGTGGGTGGGAGTGCGGTTGACATAATTGACAAACTGTAAGAGGCACAATATGTCTGGAGAGGAGTGAGCGTGGAGGGTAGCAGGAGCAGAAATGGGGTGGGGTACAGGATCAGCTCACAGAGGACCTTGCAGGCTGTGGGAAGGATTTTAGTTTTATTATGGGCGACATCTATTCCAAGTGTGATTTTTCTCTTGGAAATCCTGAGAAATATTCCTATCTCTTGCCAGTTTTGTAAAAAAATTGCCGATTTCTACACTTGCATATGGTTCATAATTGCGAATTAAAGCACGTGAGATGTATTCTCAAGCCAGTAAGCTCATAAAAAGTCCTCCAGAGAGCAAATGCCTTTGTTCTCAAGGTCAGCTACAGCCTGCTGACTCTGGGCTAGGAGAGGGGCTTAGAGCCTCCAGTGTTGATGGGCTGCAAATTGAATCAAGGAATTGATCATTACAACTTGGGCCCCATCTCCTGCTCCCGGGAAGCTGTGGCTCTTGAGGCGGGAGCTCAGAGGACTGGCTCTCACAGAGTCATTGGGCCCCTGGGGAAATGAGAGCAGCCCCTTTAAGCTGGCCCATCCAGACAGCCCTGAAAATCCACCAGGTCGGTGCAGGGCTGACTTAGTCTGGCTGATTTTGTGTCTCTAGGACACCTTTGGAGGTGGAGAAGCGACATTCTTCGTGATCTCTGTACACGTGAACTTCGCACTCCTTCCCAATTTTGGTTCAGTGATAGAAACTCTGTTGGGATAGAGAATGCTACTCGGCTGGATCTGCCTACCGACACCGGGCTCTGGGGCCTTTCCGCCTGCACACCCCCTACCCCAGCTTTGGTTCGTTTCTGACAGAAACCTGACATATCTGTGATAGACCCTGTGCTGAGAGGACTTTCTAGCAATTCATTCTGTTAGTTCTTGCACGCACCCTGGGGTCCTCAGGACTGGCAAGGCACCGGGGCCTTTCAGCTCGATTCCAAAAACACTGTTTGTCCCCAGACTGCCTGCCTGCCACGGAAACAGTGGAGAAAAGTTTTGAAAAGATGTTCAGGAAAACCTGATAAGAATCCACGGGAATTCCAGCAAGCTCTGAGGAGGACGGTCCTTTTGGGTGTCACTGGGGAGGAGAGGGGAAGGAACTGGGAGAACAGGTCGGGACAGACTGAGGGGCAGCACCTCCCACATAAGATTCTTTGAGTAAGTGCCTGCCCTACCTTGAGGACAAGAGTCTGGCTCTGGCCCTAAGAGCTCAGCAAATCCCCATCATTTGTGATTGCCCTATTTTAATACGGCTTTCTTGAATAGTAACTATGTAGTTAATTGGAGGGAACCCAAACTAGGTGTTTATCAAGGGAAGAAGGTGACAGGGCAGTCCTGAATACTGAATGGCACTGCTCAGAAGTGTTCGATTCAACATAATAATTAACCTTATTAACATCAATGGGCACTGTCTACATGTCAAGATAAGCACAGTAAATATGCAGTAACAGCCATAACTGGGGCTGAATGAGAAGGAAAAGCTTTCTGCCTAATTAACTTTTCCTTTGTGGATTTCTGTCAACTTCTACCTTTGTTCTAGTGAGATCATTATCTTCCCCTGAAGTGGCTCTACCCGAGGGCTGGTGCGGGCAGGGGAAGTGACAGGCCCTTGAGTGGTGTCACCCAACCCCTTATCTGTGTAATGGGAACAATAGACTTGTCTTCAGGGTGGCCCACCAGAGTGCTACCATAAGTAAATGCCAGGCATACAGGATTCCCTCAAGTAGGGTGTGTCTTCTCTGCATCTGATCAAGAACAAATCTTAATTTTTCTCCATCCAATCAGTGCCTCTCTTCTAATGGTTTTTCCTGACAGAACCATAGTTCCTGAATGTGGGAGAGATGTTTGAGCTGTGTGTATCTGCCCTGTAGGGCAGATCCCCACATTGTAGATGAGGAAAGGGAGGGGAGAAGCAGTAAAGGACTAGCCCCGGGGCCAGCTCCGCTGACAAATAGGCACATAGAGGAGACTGTCCAGTTTTCACCTCCTCGACCTCTCCTGTAGTAAATTCCTTTTTAGCCTCCACAGGTGGGTGGAGGGCTTGGCTCTGGTCTGGTGATTGTTATGGGCACAAATCTATAAGCTTTTCTCAAACCTTGCTACTCAAAATGTGGTCCATGTGATGATCAGCAGCAATAGCCGCTGCTGGGAGCTTGTGAGAAATACAGACCTACTGAACCAGAATCTGCATTTTAACAAGATCTCCAGGTGGTCATTCTTTTATTTATTTGACAGAGAGAGAGAGAGCACAAGCAGGGGGAGCTGAAGGCAAAGGGAGAAGCAGGCTCCTCATTGAGCAGGGAGCCCGATGCGGGACTTGATCCCAGGACCCTGAGCCAAAGGCAGATGCTTAACTGACTGAGCCACCCAGATGTCCCCCCCCCCCCCCCCCAGATGATGATTCTGTACATTAAAGTTTGAGCAGCATGGCTCTAAACTCTCCGTGGGAATGGAATAAGATGAAGAAAATTCCATCGGTCAGTACTCTTCTGGGGGTGGTGGGGCGGTGGGTGGGATGCTTTGTCTAGAATCTGAGAGTTCATTTGATAAGCCACCATGTTTGTAAGCCCCCACCATGCTGAAAGACAAGAGATTGCAGTCCCTAAATTGTTTTCTAACAGGATGGGCCTGGTTAACTGTGGGGCTTTTGTTTTATGGAGTGATAGGTGTAAGATGGGATTTTGCCACCATAAGGATTCTCTCCTTTCTCTTCATAGGATTCAATTAACCCCTCCTTAGTAAAGAATTAAAAGTCTTTAAAGGTACCATTTGTAGGGCTCCAATTTATTCCCTACCAAGGTGCTGCTGGATAAGTCTCTTTGGAGGGGCCCATGCATCCCAATCAAGCCCTGCTGTCTAGACCTCAGGTAGCCCAGCAATTGACTGGACCCTCTTTAAATGTGGGGGTCCCTAGACCAGAGCTCTTGAGTATAGAGATGGACTTCTGTCCCAGGTCATTCTGTCTCACTCCAGAGACCCTTTCTCTACTTCTTATTCTATCCCTCTTCTTCAGGAAAGGACATCGAAGCCCATCCAAGTTCAGGGGCTGTGTACCCAGCATGTCCCTAATTCCTCTCTAGGACTTGGTGCAAGCTGGACCAACAAGGGACCCACTCTCCTGGGGCACTATCCCCAGCCCAGGACACTCTGCAGGGAACAGGGATCTTTGGATATGTTATGTTGGGTGCTTACCATTTTCTTCCCCGTGAGAAAAATCAGGGATAACATACACTGAAAAAGAATAAGAACAATTATTAATAGGATGTGGTATGGTGAACTTATGAGGACTTTTTTTTTTTTTTTTTAAGATTTTATTTGTCAGAGAGAAAGAGCACAAGCGGGGTGGGGGGGGAAGGGGCAGAGGGAAAGGGAGAAGCATGTTCCTCACTGCGCAAGGAGCCCAATGTGGGACTACAACCCAGGACCCTGGTATCATGACCTGAGCTGAAGGCAGACACTTAATTGACTGAGCCACCCAGGCATTCCTTATCCAGACCTTTTGGTCCCTGAGGGAATCAATTTAAAAAGCACCTCCTAATAGCTGGGGGAGACAAGGTGGAGATCATGTGTTTTGGGATAAGTAGCTTCCATAAACTTCAGCAGTTTGAGGCCTGTTGCTTACGCTCAACAAATATTGATTTCCCTCCCTTTGTTCGTATTTCATCTTGCGCATTAGAATTTAAGTTCCGAATACAACATAGTGATTCAACAACTCTATATGTTCTGCTCTGCTCACCACAAGCGTGGCTACCATCTGTCAGAGGGTGTGATGGTTTTGTCCATCTTATATCCTGCCCGGTATGCAGTAGATGTACAATAAATGTCTGTAGGTATACAGTAAGTGTCATGGAATAAGCTGAGTATGGGTAACCTATTATCTTTCCTTCAATAATTCCAGTGGTAAATACTGTTTCCTCCCTCTTCAAAATTCAATTTTAATTCAAATTTGAAAGCATTTTGACCCTTTGGCTCAGTTTCTTCCCTGGGCCCTAAGCCTTGCGTCAAGCCCTGGAAATAACGCCTTAGCTGCAGGACTTAATTAAGATTGCTTTAGTCTAAAATGGTCAAAAGAGGTCTCTCTTTGGCTGGGGGCAGGCTAATTCTGTTTTTCTTACCTTCCCGTGGATGGATCTGTAACTTCTGCAAGTCATTTAAAATCATCATAAAATTATAAAATTTAAATACCTTCTGAACCCGACTTTAAAGAGGATAGCGTGGTTATTGACATTTCTTGTCCTGTTTTCATTTTTGATTTTCCAGGTGCTGTTAGAAGACAGAAGAAGGTGACCATTTAGCGATTTTAACCTCACCCTTTGCAGGGGGTTAATATCAGACATTTAGGGCCTAAGGTTCTTCCTTGGTGCCCCAAGCTGATCCGCAGAGGGGAGGAGCGGCTTGGAGGGCACTGAGGCCATGTCTGGATGCGTCCCCTGCCTCGCCTCCTGTCTAGTTTCGCTAACTTACCGCAGGACAGCAATAAAGCAGTGGTCGGGAGATGCAGCCCTCTGCGGCCCTCTCCTCGGGTCACCATGGGCCAGCTGGGCTCCTCAGGATCGACGGAATGGCTGGGGTTTGGGGGGTAGATTTTAGAGCTCCAAGTGGCTCCGAGGCCATGTG